TGTGATATTAGTAATATGTGATATTAGTTTGATAATTTCCATACTCTCTCAGGTCAGCTTTTATTGGAATGGGAATAAATATAGATCTCTTCCATATTGGTGAGCCTATCCAGGGGCAGCGTCTGTTGAAATATGTCAATTGGTATTTCATCAATTCCTGAGACTTGATTTTTTTTGCCAGTTCCTTCAGAGCAGCTTGAATTTCTTCCTTTGTCATCATTGCCATGATCATATGTTGTTTCATGAAATTCTTTTATGTCATTTGTTCTTTTTGGCACAGTGCCTCTGTGTACTCTCTCCATCATCTTCTTTTTTAAAATAAATTTTTATTTTATATTGGTTTATTTATAAAGTTTGCATACATTGTGATTCACATTATCTTTCATTCACATTGTGTTTCATACAGTCATACCCATTCATTGTTGTTTTTATGTGCTGTTGAGTCGCTTGTGACTCATAGTGACCCTATGTACAACAGCGCTAAACCATGCTCTATTCTGTGCCAATCTCACTGTCTCCAACAAACCCCCATTACCCCAGTCACTGAATCAAACCACCTCATCGAGGGTCTTCCTCTCCTGCGCTGTCCCTCCACCCTCCTAAACATGACATCCCTTTCCAAGGACTGGTCACTCCTTGCAACATGTCCAAAGTATGTCAGACGAAGCTTCAGAATCCTTGCCTCCAAGGAGTAGCCTGGCTTCACCCTCTCCAGGACGAACTTGTTCATTCTCTTAGCAGTCCATATATTCAATACTCTTCTCCAACACCACAGCTCAAAGGCATCAATTCTCCTTTTATCCTCCCTAGTCATTGTCCAGCTCTCTGATGCATAACAAGTGATTGCAAAGACCATGGCCTTTATCAGGCACACCTTTGTCTCCAGAGTAACATCGTTGCTCTTCAGTACTTTGTAGTGGTCACTAACAACAGATTTTCCCATTGCAATACATCTTTTAATTTCCTGGTGGCTGGTGCCAAGAGTGTTGACTGTGGAGCCAAGCAAATAAAGTTTTTCATAATCTCAATCTCTTCACCATCTATCATGATGCTGCCAATTGGTCCAGTGGTGAGAATCTTTATTTTCTTGATCTTGAGCCTCAATTCATATTGAAGGCTATAGTCCTTGACCTTCTGCAGCAAGCGCTTCAGGTCCTCCTCAGTTTCAACAAGCAGGTGGTGTCATCTGCATAACACAGATTCTTGATGAATCTTCTTCCAATCCTGGTGCCACATTTCTCCTCATAGAGCCCAGCCTTCTAGATAATCTGTTCTGCATATAGATTGAAAAGGTATGGAGATAGGACATATCCCTGGCACACACCCTTCCCAATTTTGAACCATGTAGTGTTTCCTTTCTCTGTTCTGATGACTGCCCCCTGGTCCTAGTATAGGTTTCACATTAGGATGATCAAGTGGTTTTTTTTTAAATTATTATTATTAATTTTAATGAAAGTTTATAGAGACTTAGGGTTTCTGTTCATTCATTGTTGCATCTTTCTCCCTGCCCCTCCCCAATTAACTCTTCTCCTTGAAAAAGAAAAGAAAAACTCTTTGATTGTTATGAAATACCTCCCCCCAAGTCCATTCCACTGTGCAGCCTTCATTCTGGACTCCTGTCATGACAATAATACCCAATCATGTATCCCTTTTTAAACAATTCTTTCCCTTGTCTGTTTCCATGCAGTATACATCATTCATTCCCTCCTTCTCTGTCTTCCCTCAACCACTTTGTCAGTCCCAATTTACAACAGTGGCCCTATGCAATATTTGTCCTTTTGTGACTGAGATATTTTATTCAGCATAATGTCCTCCAGGGCCACCCTTTTTGGATAGTATTTCATGAGTTCCTTGTTTTTCAATGCTGCATAGTATTGCATTGTGTGAATATACCAGATCTTCTCTATTTGTTTGTTGATGGGCACTTGGGTTGTTTCCATCTCTTTGCTATTGTGAACAAAGCCACAATAAACATGGGTGTGCATCTATCTACTTGGGTGGTGGTTATGGTTTCTATAGAGGATATTCCCAGTAGTGGAATTGCTGGGAATTTCTATTTGCAACTTTTTGAGAAAGCGCCATACAGCCTTCCATAGTTGTTGCACCACTTTACACTCCCACTAACCATGAATAAGGGTTCCAGTTTCTCCACAATTAAGACACAAGTGGAGATTTATACACTTAACAGCGTTAATTCACCATCACAGAAACATGGAAGACAGCCCAAGTGTCCAACCACAATCAAATGTATTGAGAAATTATGGTACATTCACATGATAGATTACTACATAACTTGGGAGGGACTGGAGAGCATTATGGTGAGTGAACTAACTCAGTCTCATAAGGACAAGTAATGTACAAGACCATTATTGTAGAAATAGAAAGAAAACTAGTAAAAAATGTATGAGGTTTCAAGGGTGGTAGGGTAGGAGCAAATGGGTGAGGATTGGCAGAGGGAAATCAGAGGGTCACACAGTTTGGTAGGTGGAGGGAGGAGTGGGAAAAGCAAAGAGGAAAGATCCAGTGGGGATCTGGAAAGACAGCGTAATTGTGGGCATAGTTCAGTGTTGAATAATTTTATAAAATATAATGAATGGGATTACAATGAAATGCACAAGGAGCTGGAGTCAGACAATCAAAAGGGCTGAACCTGCTCAGCATTTCTTAAGTTGAAGGAACTGAAGAACAAATTAAAACGTTGAGTTATAATACTTAAGAATGCTTTGGGCAGAATATTAAATGATCCAGGAAGTATTAAAAGAAGATGGAAAGAGTATACAGAATCATTGTACTGAAAGGAATTGGCAGACACAAAAGTCATGAAATAACATATGAGCAAGAGCCTATAGTAAAAAAAAAAAAAAAAAAAAAGAGCCTATAGTGATGAAAGAAGTTCAAGCTACTTTGAAAAAATTGGCAAAAAATAAGGCCCCAGGAATTGATGGTATACCAATTGACATATTTCAACTAACAGATGCTGCCCTAGATATGCTCACCAAGTTGTGCCAAGAAATCTGGAGGACAACCACTTGGTCAACTTACTGGAAGAGATCCATATTTGTTCCCATTCCAAAGAAAGGTGATCTGACAGAGTGTGGAAATTATCAAACAATATCATTACTATTACATGCAAGCAAGATTTTGCTGAAGATTATCCAAAACCAACTGGAACATCAATGGAGAACTGCCAGAAGTCCAGGCTGGGTTTAGAAGGGGTTATGGTACTAGGGACATTGTAGCTGATGTTAAATGAATCTTAGCTGAAAGCAGGGAATACCAGAAGAATGTTTATCTGTGTTTCATTGTCTATGCAAAGGCATTTGACTGTGTGGGTCACAACAAACTGCGGCTGACTCTGTGAAAAATGGGAATCCCAGAACACTTGATCAAACAACTCTGAGAAATCCTCTCTCCCCAGTAATAATAGCAAAATTTAACAGAACAGTAAACATCAAATGGTGGCAGACAGCAGGAGTATTTTGGTCCATGAGAAGGCAAGAAATTGAACAGAAAGGGGAACAGGAGAACTCTCTGGGGTGATAAAAATATACTCTAAAAATCTATTACCAAGTCAGATCCTCCACTAAGTTAAAAGGCTGTAAACACCAATAGATTGGCCTTCTTTCCTCTGCAGAATGTCTGGTGGATTTGATCCATTTGCCTTTGGGTTGTCAGCCCAGTTTCTTACCCACTAGGCCACCAGAGTTCCCTAAATGGAAGTACAATAGATCATATAACGGAGTATATATTGATCAAAAGTCAACACATTTTACACTGAGAATCTGTTTCACTGCTAGTAAATTTAACTTCAATCAAAATACAAAAACAATGTTACCAAGCACTGAGGAGTAGCTTAAATCCATATTTACATCAGTGGGCTATTTTGACTTCAAAGGAACAATCTGATCTTTTTTAGAAAGTTATTCTGCCCAGAAAAGCATTAACTATGTCTTCTAGAAAATCTGAAAAGTATATTTAAGTAGGAAAGATAATACAACACTTGTTAAAAATCACAATTAAAATAAGATTTTATTACAAAACAAAAGAACAAACAAAGAGTTGAATCACATTACCAAAATATAATTGCTGTTAATATTTTAGTGTCTTTTCTTGACAAAGTTTTTCCTCCTTGCTGCATGGTTAAAGTAGTGGTTTGTACATATAATTTTATATTTTGATTTGTCCTAAATTTTACATGACTCTATGATTACTAGAATTTTACAATTATACTTTGGACATGTTGTAAGGAGAGACAGGTCTTTAGAGAGGGACATCATGCTTGGGAGGGTGGAGGGACAGTGCAGGAGGGGAAGACCCTCTATGAGGTGGATTGATTCAGTGACTGGTGAATTGGGATGGGTGTGTCAGAGACAGTGCGATTGGCACAGGACAGAGCGGAGTTTAGGGCTGTTGTACACAGGGTCGCTATGAGTCGCAAATGACTCGACGGCACATAACAACAGCAACAACAATTACAATTACATTATTATCACTAAAGCAAACAAACAAAGCAACTGTCTTGTGTGCCATTTTAAGAGCCACACATGATTTCCTTGAATGTCTGTGCTGCTCTGTGTAGTTTCTTTCTTATCCTGTCCTTGTTATGGTATTTACCCATATTTTGCTAGTATAAATAATGCTGTGATAAATGTACCTGTTCATGAGGACTTTTCCTATCAGATCCTTTTCTTGGGATGGGATTTCAGAAAATAAAAAATATAGGTGAGAAGGGTTGTACATATATTTTAGTGTTCCTTGTTGTCCTTCAGGACCAGGGCAGGAAAACGCCTTTTCTGCTTGGCCTTGACGAGGAGGGAGATTGTTTCCTCTAATGGATTCTTTGGCTTGTTTCCAGCAGGTTCTAGAAGGCATCTGACGTAAACTGCAGGTGATACAAGCTTCTCTCCTGGTGGTGCAAGGCCCACGCTATATCTGCCCCTCTCCCTGGCGGCCCCTGGAGCCTGAGTCTGTGTAGAACCAAGCCACTGACATCCGCAGCCATGAATTTCCTTCGGAGACGCCTATCCGACAGCAGCTTCGTGGCCAACCTACCCAATGGCTACATGACGGACCTCCAACGCCCAGACAGCTCCACCAGCTCCCCTGCCTCCCCGGCCATGGAGAGGAGGGCCCAGCCGCTGGCTGCCTCCTTCTCCTCCCCAGGATCCAGCCTTTTCAGCTCCTTCTCCAGTGCAATGAAGTCGACCCCACCGGCCCCCTCGGGGCTGATGGAGCCTCCAGCTCCCCCGACCCCTGTGGTCCAAAGGCCCAGGGTCCTCCTGGTGATCGATGATGCCCACACAGACTGGTAAGTGGGAGTCTGCAGGTGCTTGAGCCCCTTCTGGGATGAGAGATGAGGGGAGAGAAGCTCACCTCCTGGGAGGAATACAAGGGAAGAGATGAGAGCCTCAGGTGGAGGAGAGACAGACTGGAGGGAATGTTCACCGAGTGCTTCAGTGCGTCAGGCCCCATAGTACCTGTTTTCTGTGAAACTTTCTTTTTCCCTTCCCTCCTCCCCTCCCTCACCACTCCTTCCTTCCTCTTCCTCCTCTATATTTTTTTCAGTTGTTAAATGATAACACATTTGCTACTTCACTCCTTTTCATACGCATAATTTAATCAAATCAACTACATCAATCATGCTGGACAACTTTCACCCATATGCATTGCCAAGATTGCTATCTCCATAAACAGAAACTCAGGGTCTCTTAAAAAAGTATTTCCCCCTTGCTCTGTGTTCTCTGTCTCTAGTTGTTGTTGCAACTCATAACCAGTGTTAATCTCTAGTGTCTATACTTTTGTCTAACCTAGGTATTTCACACAAGTGAAGTAATTCAATATTTTACTTTGGTGACTGACTAACTTCGTGTATTTGTTGAGGTTCATTCTTGTGGCATATGTCAGGACATCATTCATCATTACAGCTCAGTAATACTCTATGGTATGAGTGTGCCTCTGGTGGCCTAGTGGTAAGAAGCTGTGATACAATTCCAAAGGCATGCAGTTCAAATCCACTGCAAGAGAGATATAGGCAGTCTCATCCTATGCGATTAACTGCCTCTGAAAACCTGTTGGAGGGTCAGCTCTGGGTCAGTTCCACTCAAAGGTACACAACAAACAAATAAACAAGGACATGGATGTATCCTATTCTGTTTAATCCACTCATGTGTTGATAGGTGTTTAGTTTATCTTTACCTGTTGGAGATTGTGAATTCTTCTAAGAGCTTTACCCTCACTGAACCATCATCCCTCACTTCCAAAGTCCAAAAAGCTCTGAAACCTAGAAAGTGCTTTATGACCCATTTGACCCAGGCTCTGCCTGGCCTAAATGTGAGGCTGTGATAGTCTTAATTAGATCAGCACGGTGCCCATTCACATGCCATTCTTCTGCCCGCATCTTAACGTATTTGACGGGAGGTGGAACGTACTCAGTGGCATGTAGTGGACAGTTAGTTGCCATCATCAAGTCCATATTAACTCATAGCTGATCCTCTATCCAATTTAGAGAGGCTGTAAATTTCACAGGAGGAGATTGCCCATTTTTTTTCACATTGATTCTGGGTTTTATTGCTTATGCAGAAAAATACAGTTGGTCATAAGTTTTATTATTATTAAGTGCAGTGGAGTCAATTCCAATTCCTAGAGACCTTGTGTATAACAGAACTCAACACTAACTGGTTCATGTCATCCTCACCATTATTTGCTAAGCTTGAGCCAATTTTTTGCAGCCAGTTTGTCAACTATGTCATTGGGGGTCTTCCTCTTTTTCACAAACCCTTTGCTATATACCAAACCTGAGATTTTTTTTTTTTCTCCAGAGACTGGTCTCTCCTGATAATATGCTCAGAAAATGTAAGACAAAGTCTCACTATCTTTAAAGGATCATTTTGGCTGTACTTTCTCCAAGACCGCTTGCTGAGATTGCCCACTTTTCTCTTGTGGAGTAACTGGTAGACTGCCCATTTTTTGGACTCGCAGTACAACTCCTTATGCATTGAGCTCTCTAATACATGATGTAGGAGAATTGATGCCTTTGAACTGTGGTGCTGGAGAAGAGTGTTGAATATACCATAGACTGCTAAGAGAACAAACAGGTTCACCCTGGAGAGGGTGAAACCAGGTTGCTCCTTAGAGGCAAGGATTCTGAAACTTCGTCTGACATACTTTGGACACGTTGCAAGGCGGGATCAGTCCTTGGAGAGGGACATCATGCTTGTGAGGGTGGAGGGACAGTGCAGGAGGGGAAGGCCCTCGATGAGATGGATTGACTCAGTGACTGGAGTAATGCAGGTAGGTGTGTCAGAGACAGTGAGACTGGCTCAGGAAAGAGCAGGGTTTAGGGCTGTTGTACATAGGGTCGCTATGAGTTGTAGGCTACTTGATGGCACATGATAATAGCAACAACAACAACAACATTTTATTCCTAAAATTGAAAAAATTCTTAAATATATCTGACGAGTTGCTTAGCCTTACAGCCTGTGCCCCACCTTTTCCGGGGGCCTTGCTCTGAGAGTGGAAAGGGCGCTCTGGTGGCTTGGTCTGTAAGGAGATGTGCTGCTAAAGACACATCTCTCTGGTGGGTTCAAATCACCAGCAACTCTTTAGGCCAAAAATGGGCACGCTCCTCCCACGTGATTTACAGCTGCAGAAACCTAACGGAGGGTAAGCTATGAGTCAATTCTAACTCAATTACAGAGAAAGAGAAGGTGGGAGGGGAGAGTAAAAGAAACTAATACAAGTCCTTATGAAAGTTATACAGGTTTCAGGTCATTCATTCATAGGGTCACTATGAGTAATCTTTGACTCGACGACACTTAACAACAACAGCAACAGCATAGAGAGAGATCAACTGGTCTACTGGACAGAAAGTCATGCGCCAAGCCAAGAGTCGGTGACTCAAATTCACAGCCCTCGGGCCTGATTTTACTTGTTTTTGGTGAAACATTCTTCTAGGTCATATAACTCTGGTCTGTCCACTTGCTGTACAGAGGTAACTCGTGGTTGCTGTGAAGCTGAACACTGTGACTGATGTGTCAAATGTGTTAATGGCAGACAGTGTTTGGTGGAGCTCCCCAATTTAAATCAGCTTGGAAGCAGGAACGGCATCCACTTCCGAAATAGCTTGCCTCCGGAAACCCTATGAACCTGGAGAAAGGACGAAAGTTATACAGGAGGTGTCCAGGTCTTTCGTTCATAGGGTCACTATGAGCTCGACAACACTGAACAACAATAACATGAAAAATGCATACAGAATGTATTAGAAACAAGTGCAGTCCTGACCCCAAACCCCAGGGACTATCATGCCCACATCTGCATCCCAGCATTTCCAAGTGCTGTCCTTTGGTTCAGACCCCGTCTTCCCAGCCCAGACGTGAGCAGAAGTGACTTGCCTTCCTGTACTCAGGTAGAGCTCATGAGATGCTAAGGGTCCCAGGCCTCAGGATTGTCAAGGTCATCACAGTCGGCCTTGAGTGGCTAGTCACCGGCACAGCACTCGGGGCCCGGAGGCAGAGTGGAACGGCTCTCTGCTCACGTGGAACTGGAGCTGGGACGCGACCGCTATCGTGGATTGAACTGTGTGGCCAGCACATGTGTGGTGATCTTAACCCCTTGTGAGGAAGTTAATTTCATTTGCATCCACAATCAGCACTCACAGAAGCAGCAGTTAAGAAATCAGGACACAAACTGCACTGGACAAATCTGCTGTCAAAACAACCTTAAAGTACTAGAGAAACAATGTGTACAATCTTTGTAAGTAAACCAGTGTGGTGGTGGTGGTGGTGTTGTGTCCCGTAGAGTTGGAATTGGCCCATAGCTGACCCTTCAGTGGGTTTCCAGAGGCAGTTAATCAGCCTAGAGGAGATTGTCCATCCTTCTCCTGTGGAGCACCTGGTGGCCTTGAACCACATGTCTTTGGGATTGTCACACAGCTTCTTGCCACTAGGCCACCAGAGCTCCCAAACCAGTATGAAATAAAAATTTTACTTAAAAAAAATGCTAATGAGCAGCGTTCAACATTAAGGTACAGCTGACCCAAGCCATGATATTTTCAACTTCTTATGCATGTGAAAGTTAGGCAATGAGTCAGAAAAAGAAGAATCGATGCCTTTTAATTGTGGTTGGAGAAGAGCTCTAACTATACACCATGGACTACCAAAAGAATGAATGTATCTGTCTTGGAGGAACTTCAGCAAGAGTGCTCCTTAGAGGCAAGGATGATGAGACTTAATCTCTTAAATGTAGGCCATACTGTCAGGAGGGACCGTTTCCTGGAGAAAGACATCATGCTGGGGAGAGCAGAAGGGCAGCGAAGGAGAGGAAGCTGTTCAGTGGTATGGATGAAACATGACTGTAAACATAGGCTTAAGCACAGAGGAGATTGTGGGGGTGGGACAGACCTTGGCAGAGCTTGTTCTGTTGTGCACAGGATGCTATCAGCTAGCCAACTATATAGCCCCTAACAGCAGCAGCATCCTAGCTACTGGGATCTCATTTGGAAATGGAATTTTCTGTGTTATGTGCAAGAGGGCTAAGTCAAGGATGGGTGTGCAGATCTGATATAGACAGAAGCACATCCTGGGAAAGACCAGTGCCATATGTTGTTGTTGCTTGCTATTAGGTGAGCGTGACTCACAGCAATTCTATGAACAAAAGACCTAATGCCTTTCCATAACTCTCGTCATCTCTCCAAGTTCATAGAGTTTCCAGAGGCATGTGGTTTAGGAAGCGGATGCCACTCCTGCTTTCAAACCTGTTTTACAACTGGGAGCTCCCCCAAACACTGTCCACATTGGAAAACTGTTCTTCTGGTATTTGATACCCCAAGAGCACAAGGTTCAACATAACAGCAAACCCAGGTTACTTCATACAGCACATTGACAAAGAGTGATGTGCAAAGTAGAAGAATGTTCCTCCAGATATATCAGCACTAGCCAGGAAATAAAAAAACATATTGCGATGGGAACGTCTGCTGTTAGGGACCTCTCTAAAGTACTCAAGAGCAACGGTGTCTCTTTGGAGACGAAGGTGCGCCTGACACAGGCCATAGTCTTTGCAATCACTTGTTATGCATCAGAGAGCTGGACAATGACTAGGGAGGACAGAAGGAGAATTGACGCCTTTGAGCTGTGGTGCTGGAGGAGTATTGAATGTACCATGGACTGCCAAGAAAACAGATTCATCCTAGAGAGGGTTAAACCAGGCTGCTCCTTGGAGGCAAAGATTCTGGGGCTTTGTCTGACATACTTTGGACATGTTGTAAGGAGAGACAGGTCTTTGGAGAGGAACATCATGCTGGGTAGAGTAGAG